GGCTGCCTCCTGCACACACCCCACTGGGGATGGAGCCCACAACCCGGGCCTGTGTCCTGACCGGGAATCCAATGTGACCTCCTGGGTCACAGGTGGACGTTCAACCACTGAGCCCCACCGGCCGGCTGAGCATCCTCTCTTGGCTGTAGGGGAAGGTAGAGGCTCAGAGACAGAAAATCCGGGCGAACTTCCACAACCTGCGGAGCTTCCTGAGGGAGGAGGAGAGGTCGTACCTGTGGAGACTGGGGAGCGAGGAAGAGCGCATTCTGAAGAGACTGAGGGACAGTGAGGCCGACCTGGGCCAGCAGAGACTGGAGCTCAAGTACCACATCCTGAAGTTGGAGGAGCGATGCCAGGGCTCTGCCCAGAAGCTGCTGCAGGTGAGGCTGAGCCCTGGGAGGACCCCAAGAGGTGGGTCCTGAGATGCTGGGAGGAGGTTGGGGGATGTGGGAACAGAGGACCACCTGACTGGCTCAGCGGTGGCACATCAGTGTGGGGGACTTAAAGGCAGATTTCTCTTATTCTTATTTAGTTATTTTGTTAATTCTCATTCATGGATAGTGTTCCTTTGGTTTTAGAGAGAGTGGAAGGGAGAGGGAGAGACAGAGAGAAATGTCGATGGGAGAGGGAGAGACAGAGAGAGAAACGTTGATGGGAGAGGAACACATTGATTGGTTGCCTCCACAGGTGCCCCAGCTCTAGGCCGGGGATCAAGCCTGCAACCAAGGTGCATGCCCTTGACCTAAATTGAACTTGGGACCCTTCAGTCCACAGGCTGACGCTCTATCCACTGAGCCAAACCGGCTAGGGCATAAGGGCAAATTAAGTTTTTTTGTTTTGTTTTTAATTTGAGAGAAGAAGGGAGAGGGAGAGAGAGATAGAAACATCAAGGATGAGAGAGAATCATTGATCAGGCCTGCAACCTGGACATGTGCCCTGACAGGGGATCAAACCCTGACCTCCTGGTTCATAGATTGATGCTCAACCACTGAGCCACACCACCTGGGCTAAGCCTATTTCTCTTAGAATATTGAACAGACTAAAATCTACAAGGTGGCTCCATGGTCTACAGGGCTCTATATATAAATCACAATTTTTTAATATATATTTTATTGGTTTTTTACAGAGAGGAAGGGAGAGAGAATAGAGAGTTAGAAACATCGATGAGAGAGAAACATCGATCAGCTGCCTTCTGCACACCTCCTACTGGGGATGTGCCTGAAACCCAGGTACATGCCCTTGACCGGAATCGAACCTGGGACCCTTCAGTCCATAGGCTGAAGCTCTATCCACTGAGCCAAACCGGTTTCGGCTATAAATCACAAATTTTTGATTTGGCTCAAAACTTCAGTGTGGTTCGGTGGGTAGAGCTTCAGCCTGAGGACCAATGGATCCTGGGTTCAATTCTGGTCAAGGGCACGTACCTTGGTTGTAGGCTTCTCCCTGGCCCAGGCCCTAGTCATGGCTCCTCGGGTGAGGATAAAGAAAAATGAAATCCCCCCTGCAGGTAGAGGGGGTGGGTTCCTTGGCCGAACAGGCTCAGGGGATGGCTTCTGCTCCCACGTGCCTGTGTCCAGGGCACAGGATCCTGAAGGTCAGGCGATGGCGGGGACCAGGTGGGCCGCCCCATGAGTGATGGGTGAGCCTGGGCTGATGGGCCTCCTTCCAGCCTCAGGAAGGTGAACCTCTCCCCACCTCTCAGCTGCTGGTCCCAGGTCCGGCTGGTGGAAGTGGAGGGCGCCCCTCAGGGTGACCATGTCTCATGGCTGCTCTGCCCCCTGGGTCACTGTGGCCGCCACCTCAGGGCCCAGTCTGGGCGCCGGGCACCCACCCACCGCCGAGAGGCTTTGTGACTGGGGGCCTCTGGCAAGTGCACTCTGAGGGAGGTGAGGCCAGAGGGAGCGTGGGGGGCTCCCCACCCGCCTAAGCAGCCGGGGGCTCCCCAGCACCTCAGCAAGGAGGCGCCAGGTCAGAGGCTGAGAGGTGTCCTGCTGTGCTGACCGTCCAGAGGCCAGAGTGGGGATCATTGCCTGTGGCATCCATCTGTTACCTGGAAACCCCCGGGTGGGCTCGGCTGCCTGTCGCTGTGTCCAGTCACGAAGGCAGGGATGAGTCCCATAAGGCGTTTACTGAGAAGGGGCCCACCCAGCAGGCAGGGCGCTTAAACACATCAAGTCCTGTCTGCCAGCAGGTGCAGGCGACAGGATTATAGAGGGGTGTGCCGTGCCAGCATGGCCATGGGTGAACCTGAGGGGCACGGTGAAGCTTTAGGAAAGACAGACAAGAGAATAAGGCTGGGGCTGGGTGGGAGGTTGCCCTCTGATTAGAGAGACAGTGCCATGGCCTGCAAGCGAGTGTTTATTTTACACTCAGAGCACACAAAGCAAAGCAAGGGAAGTGGTCCCCATAGTTACAATGTTCTCGTGAGTGTCACCGGTTTTGGCAGCACTTTCTGCACCTCCCACAGCCCATTAGCTGAGTAGGAAGGACCTAGGGAGCGGCTATAGGGTTCAGCTTCATTATGCTAAGAGGGCTGTGCCACAGGTCGATCCGAGCTTAACCTTATGGCCACTCTACAGAGGGGACGGGGCTGGGTGCTGTGTGCAGCCCTGGGGGCCTCAGCCGTCAGCTCTTGTCCTCAGTCCCCAGGCGACGAGATGCTGTTGGTCATGTGGTGTTTTGGCTCCTGGTGGGTGGGCCTGACCCTGCTCATAGGTTCTGCTCGCTGGGCTCACAGCTCAGTCACCTCCCCAGTCACTTCACACAGGGCTTGGGAGGGAAACTTAACAAAAGCTTAAACCCTGTTCACATGTAAGAAACGCACCCCTATTCCCATAAGTGTGTGTGTCCTAAGATTTAAAAGAAGAGGATTGCTTTTCACAGTCATCCAGGTGCCCTACCGACCAGGGTGTAAGCCCCATCCCATCTGAACCCAAGGCCCGGCCTGCCCTGCGCCTCTGGGAGGGAGCAGCACCCCATCAGCATGGTGTTCCCACACTCACCTGTGCCTTTGTTTCCCGCAGGACGTGAAGGGTGCCCTGAGCAGGTGAGTGCTGAAGGATGGACGAGGGGAGTGGGGTGCAGAGCCGTGGGGTGCCCCGCTGAGCAGCTCTGGCCTCTGCTCCCCCAGGAGCCAGGCTGTGCAGCTGGAGATGCCAGAGGCCCTGTCCTTGGAGATTCAGACGGAGTACAAGGTCCCCGAGGTCTTCTTTGAACTGAGCAAACAGTTGAGCAGCCATCAAGGTTCGTGAGGACATTACCAAGCACCCAAGGGACCGAGCTCTGTGCAACCTCAACCCCATGGGTCTCGGAGACAAATGGGAGGGTTTCTACTTTATGGTCACCACCCTGAGCTCCTGTCGCTGGTCCAAAACAAGGCTCAGACTCCAGAGCTGTCCCACGTAGATCCCGGGAAAGGATCTGGGGGTTTATCCAAGGCGTCCCTTGAGATAAACTCTAACGGTGCAGGTGTGGGGCATTCAAGTAGTTGGTAGCGAAGAGGCTACTCTACGCAGGCAGGACCATGGCGGGTCTAGGACCAAAACGACCAGAAGCTTTAATTTCAGTTTTCAGTGTACACAAAATGGTCCCATGAACTGCCAGAGGAATCACACCACATGACACACATGCAGTTGCAAATCTCACAGCACTTTATTACCCACAAGGTTCCTGGTGCTGCGGGTACAGGCTTGGTGGGATCCCAGTGGAGCTGGCCTCTGGGGTCCGGCAGCTGGGCTGGTCCGGTCCGGGTGCCGGGGGCCGGTGTTCCTCACCCCAGAGCTCGGTTGCCTCTCGATCCGGAGGTACTAGCCGTTCTTCTGTCGTCCGGGCGGGAGAGAGGAGCGTGGAGCGGTGTCACTGGCAGGACTGGCAGAAGGACATGCCTTTGTGCCTGTCTCAACCGTGAGCCCTGTTGGCTGGTCAGGACCCATTTTTAAAGCCTGTTTCGTACCCGCAGCAGTTCAGGCGGCTATCACTGAATTAAGCCAGTGCACACATGTTGGTCTCAAACACGGCGAGGGGCTACCTGGTTATCTACGGGGAGTACCTCACTCACACAGACGGCCATCCTAGCAAGTCACTCGGACTCAGTAACTGACGTTCAAATCCTCGTCTGTGGGGTACACGCTTCAGAGCAGTGGGGAATGTGTCTTTAATATCACACTTTAAGTTAACTCAAACATTTCAAACCTTATCAGCATTTTTAGACATTTTTAAAGCATTTTACACATTTCTATATATTTACTGTAACAAGAACACAGGCTGGTCTTATCTAAAGTAAACTGAGTTGGGAGTGAGGCCTGCTTCCAGCCCTGACCCCTGAAGCCATCCCGGGCCTACAGGGTGGGGTGCACACAGCCCCCGGGACCTCTTTGTGTGTTTGTGGGGGAGGGTCCTGGCAGTAAGCACCAGCCAATCCTTCCCCACCCTCTCAGGGAACATTCTTGGAACAAAGGCGACACCAGGACCACATCCCCCAGTTCGCCAGGGATACACCCCAGGTAGTCGCTCCCCTGTGAATGTCCACGCTGACAGCCAGCGCCCTGAATTCTACCCCTGAGGTTCTTCTAATCACCAGGTTCCTGTGAGGATGGTCTCCCTCTGTCCGTATTTGTTTGGGATTTCTTGGACCATCTGACAGAGCAGCCTGGCAGTTGTGAAACTGACATGGAGCAGTTTGCAGAGACCCTGAGTGGCCGGGTCACCACGGACGAGGCTTTGCAAGAACTGGTGGACCTCATCTACCAACAGGCCACGTCCGTGCCCAAGTTCCGCAGCGGGGGAGCTGGCCTGTGTAATTACCTGTCCCGTCACCTGAGCATTCGCTCACAGAGGGGCAGCTTCCGCCAAGTGCTCCTTCAAAGATGTCAGGCTGATTATGAGCCTCGATATCAAGCTGCCAAGGGGGATGAAGCAGCTCGGAAACGATTCCACGGGTTCGTGCTCTTTCTGGGAGAACTTTATCTTCTGCTGGAGATCGAAGGGGCAAATACAGAGGCTCGAGTAGCTGCTCTCCGGGGGTTGTTGGAAGCCCTCCTTTCTCACCCTGTGGGCCATAACCTA